TTTTCATCCCGTCGATCGAGGAATCCGGCGAGGGATCGCGACGATCATCGATTCCGCCGTTTCCCGACCGTATTTGGCGCAACGCTTGGCCTCGATCGCCGTCCTCTCGATCTTTTCGTCCCGCGAGTGCGCGCGCGCCGCGATTTTCTTCTGCCGGCGCTGATTGAACGACATAACTGCGCGTCGGCCGGGGCCAAAGAGCGATCGGAAGACAATACGCTGCGATTCGCCGGGAACAAAGATTCTGCTCGTCGATAGGGATCGTTGACAATAAATCAGATTCCGTGAAATCGGCGATAACACGAGAAGAAACTAAATAACAAGCTAGTCGGAAGAAACCTTCGAGCGTTCATGGTTGTCGCGTGTAAAGTTGGGCAATTACTTGATGACTAGGTTGTTTGTATCTATTTTCGTTTCATTTTCTATGTGAATTTTCTACTTGTCGATGCGATTATACTTAATCAATGAAAACCATACGGTATGCCAGAGGAGCGTGGCCTATTCTTTTAAAAGAACTATTACATTGTAAATATCATTTCATTTGTGAACACGAATACATGTAAAAAGGACAGTTAGATAGAAATGTATGCAAGGTTTAATATAGTACTAAAAACAATTGAAAATAGGGATGTTTAACAATCTAAATGAGATCGGACCATCTCTCCCAAAATTACCCTAAACAGAATTTCACAGAATTTCCTCTTGCCCCTGTGCTGTACCGCTCAGTCATCAAATGATCTCCCAACGGTATGTGTCATCGATTTCCAATCCAATCATGTGCTACGGCGAGCCGATTCCGGAGTTATTTATTCATGCGCGGTCGGCTGGATCGGGAATCAATTGTTAATTAAGCGCGGCCGCGGGTAGGAACGCATTGCAAACGTATTACGCGACAAATCGGGCACCTGCCCGATGATGCTGATCTTGCCCCGCGCTGGATAGTCGTCCGCGGTTCGACAAAAGTCCCACAGAGACGCCTCGTACCATTGGCCTCGTTCTTGCACGGCCGCTCTGGGTGAACCGATCTTATTAAGCCCTAATTAGCCGTTTAACAAGATATATTTAACTCGCGTGGTACACGCCGGCCATGTGACGAAAACCAAAAGAATCCGGGGTCGGAATTCTTCGGGCGAGATCATTGGAAAGCTTTCGCGTCGGAAAGATTGAGGGCTATCGATCTTTTGCCTTGTGCTATGGTGTCTGGAATGTTCTGCTGTATTTTCGGCGGATGTTCGAAGAGGAATTTTGTATATTGAGCTTACTTAATTTTTCATCAGGCGATGGCTGGGTCCGTTTTGACCAGTATTTTCAGAGATTTTGTTCGAGTTTGTTAGGTTTTTATACTTAGATTGTGGATTAATCATGATAGCTACATATGTATACTTTAATGACAACGATATGCAGGACAGAAGAAGAAAATATCTTTTTGTGAAATTCAATAATATCGAATCAAGGTCGTGGTAAAGATTTAAAAGAAGGATTAATTTAACATCAATGTTATCTTTGTTCTATTTAAACGGAATTAAATGTTATCTTTCCGTTATCGGTATGTAATCTTCGGTATATAAGTAGACGCAATACGAACGTAACATTTTTTCCTAGTAAATAATGGTGAACAGTGTGGCTCTGATAGGGACAATTGTAAAAGAAATTGTAAGATAAACGGTGAAAGTGTTGGAGTACCTTTGGTTTATGATTTACCTATCTGCCAGATAATAGACAGCTTGCTAGTTTACTGAGACAGCGAATTTCTTGTTTCATCTCTGATAAAATGACTGCGCGATTTCTTTTCTGCCCCGAAGCGTAAACTTGAGAGAACTTCATCGTGGAAGCGAGATTCTAAGTTTCATTTAAATATTTATTTCGTGAAATTTCCTCGGTGATTTCGGGATTGATTCTGTCCTTTGGAAATATATTTTGTCGCGTATGTTTTTCGTGAATGGTACTTCGATAAATCATTGAGATCAATGAGTCGCGAAAACCTGAAAAGCTGCCATCGGATTTCGACAATATCGCGATTTCCAATTACGTTATATACATTGCAAACGGTTCCTTAAATAATATTGAAGGGTTTCAAGTGTGTCTTAAAATACTTGCGCAAATAAATCTCGACTTTGAACAAAATTTAATTTACACGTAAAAGTTAACATAGAAGGTCGATTGACGCCATTTTTAAGGCACACTGAAACTGATAAAACTTTTTATAAATATGTCTATTTAACGCTACAACTACCGAGCATTTATTACGATGAATATGTAATCCTTATAAAAATTATAACAATAGATTATTTCCAGTTTCTTCAGATACTCAATATAGTATTCAAGTGAAACTATTTATCTTCAAGATCATATCGAATATTCAATGCTTCTAAGATATCAATAACTGCGAAATAAAGAAACTGAAATCAGTGATTTTGACTGTTACGTAGTTCTAGCGTTAAAGTAGAACAATTAAAAGAAATACTCCAAAACGTCAATCATTATATCTTCAAACAGTTTTCGATCGTAATTTTAAAACAACCCCCATATATCCACCAACGTCATTTAACGTGAATATTAATTCCAATAGCTCTTTGTATACAAAGAAAAACCAGTAAACAAACAATCTGACATCACGATAGCCTCGTCCGAGTAAACACCAACGTAATTATTTAACACGTCGAACGTCGCACGATTTCATAGAACAAAATACACAAAATGGGGAAGATATGATATCGAATAATTTAATTGGATTGAATTATTATTACTGCACGTTCATCTAGCTGAATGTCACCGCATTAAGTAGCATTATGTACAATATTGATATGTTTTCAAATAATTACCGTTTAATAGAGCGAGCTATACTAATTCGATGTAGTTGGGGGTCACCGGTGACCCCGACGACATTCAACGTGTAAAATATTACACAGACACGGAATCGTGCTAGCAGAATGAGAATAAAAACAAATCTACCTCTTTCCTCGATGACATCTGCCAAAGTGGCGCAGGTCAGCGCGAGCAGCGCGTAAACCCCAAAAATCCTGGCTGGTCCCATCATTTTATCCGGTTGTCCTAGCCGCTCGATCCAGGAAGAATCCCTCGGTGTACACCTTCACAACAAAGATCGACGCATATCCACTTCACCAACACCGCACACCGAATAATAATACCGGCACTGAACCTAACCCCGAAATTCTTGTGCCGATTGGCAACGACGCGAGTACGGTACCCAGTATCGCGGGGAATCACCGGTCCCAAAAACACGAGCCGACCAGTGGGAATAACACCAACCGATCTCTACCCACCCTGTAGGTCTATGTGTCAGTTCAACAGTCAAGAGTCTACATTGTACAGAGGATATCCATCACGGTACCATGGTACCACTTCATAGGTGTGTAACGTAATCACTGGTAAATCTTTACGGGTGCTAGAAACTACGGTGCGTTGTGTACGGTACGTATGAGCGAGCGCAACCGTCACGGATCCCGTTTTCACTGTGACTCGTTCCCGCGACCGGTACACACTGGAAACGCGATCTTCTTTACGAACGTTCCGCTCGCAGGAATATATCTCGTCGGATTCGAACGCGGGTACGGAGACTCACTCGCGATTCACATAACGAACGAGATTCAGCTCGAACGAACGAACCACCGTGTTTCGGGCGAAGAAGGCGCTGGGTCGGACCACCTTCGGGCAGCCGTCTCTCGCGGACAGCCTTACTCCCACGCTGGCCGAGTCAAGAATACGCGCGCCTTGTCAAAGACGAGTCCTGATTCCGTTCGAGGCCGGCAGGTGGCGGGCCGACCACTGCGCGGCGAGGATCTACGAGCGACGCCG